ATCGCAGGGAGTGATGGGGAGATCCCGAGAGTGATGGGGAGATCGCAGGGAGTGATGGGGAGATCGCAGGGAGTGATGGGGAGATCCGGAGAGTGATGGGGAGATCGCAGCGAGTGATGGGGAGATCGCAGGGAGTGATGGGGAGATCCGGAGAGTGATGGGGAGATCCGGAGAGTGATGGGGAGATCGCAGAGAGTGATGGGGAGATCGCAGAGAGTGATGGGGAGATCGCAGAGAGTGATGGGGAGATCGCAGAGAGTGATGGGGAGATCCGGAGAGTGATGGGGAGATCCGGAGATCGGAGATCGCAGCGAGTGAGGCGGGGCAGTGGCGGGGAGATCGTGGGGAATGATGGGGGGGAGATCGCAGGGAGTGATGGGGAGGTCGCAGAGAGCCTCTTGTCTCCGTGGCCGTGGTGTGACCCAGACATGGAGGGCTGGTGAGCACGCTGACTTCTCCCCCAAGAAGGCACCCTGGCTGCTGGTGGAGAGTGGGCCCTGGCCGAGGAGGGCCCTGTGACTCTGGTGGTTGATGGTGACTTGAAGCAGGGCTGGGGAGCGGGGGACAGTGAGGATGATGGCAGGTGGTCAGATTCTGCTCCCACTTGAAGGTAGAATGCAAAGGACGTCCTGATGAAGTGGACGTGGTCAGAGATGGAGGCAGGGGCACAGTACTCTGCAAGGGCCCAGCGGGCAAGTCCCGTGCCCACTGCAGACTGGTGGCGAGCCAGTCCTCGCCTTCCCACTCCTCCACCCTCATTGCCAGGCTCTCGGCACTCCTGTGCCCTGCTCTCCCTACTGTTGCTCTCTCTCCGTCTCTTGCTCTCACTCCGTCTCTTGCTTTGTTTGTCCCCACATTCAAGATAGGTCAGAGTAGCAGGTGCAAACACAGGGTCCCACCCTGACTCCCCTGCTTCAGACCAGTTGCACCAAATGGGAGGTTTTCCTCTTATCCTTCAGGAAACCAGCCCCAAGTCCAGTGGTAATCAGGCATTGCCTGAAGTGAACGAAAGGACGCACAGAAAGGCGCGTAGGGTGAAGTGCAGGAGAGATCCCAAGGCAGGGTATCCATGTCCCCAGGAGACACGCCTGCTTCCACTGAGCCTTTCTCAGCATTACCACATGGCCCTGCACGTTACATCATGCCTGCGGGGTTAGTCAGTGTGGCCTCTGTCCTCACAAAGACATCACCGAGTAGCCCTGGTCACACCTCCCGAGACTTAGTCAGTATCCACCTTCCAGGCGGCCCA